TGTGTAGGGGGTGAGTGGGTGTGTGTGGGTGTGTGTGTGTATGCGTGCTCGTGCGTACGTGTGAGTGTGGCGTGTGGGTGTACAAGTGAAGTTTGAACAATGGTGGAAAATCGTGTGGTACTTGGAAAAGGTAAGGGGATTCGTTACGTTGTCTCATGGCACTTGATTATTTACAGAAATGTAAGTGGGTGAGTGTAAGATAGGATGAGAATATTTTTCAGACTCTTCGCGAGATGAATGGTACGTAATAATCACAGTCACATTCGTGATATCTTTGTCTTTAGAATATTGTACGTATTCAAGTTCACTCGAATGTAAGGATTTTTTACTCTTTACAGACTCAATGGATCTAAATTACCGGCTTTGTGCTCGCATTGAAATCATCAAACAATGGAGGGATGAACATAATAATTGTGCGTGTATTGTGTGTGCGTGTGCGCGCGCGCGCGCGCGCGCGCGTGTGTGTGTGTGTGTGTTATGACAAAAAACCATCCCTTTCGTTATATATTAATGTCGATTGTGTCTAATAATGCGTGAGGACTTGAAATAAAAAAAATGTAAGCGTCATATTCCATATATTTTTTTAATAAATGAAATATTACATAGAAAACAATATTTATTCTACGCTTACAATCTTTTTATATCAAATCTACACCTTTCTGTATGACAAAGTATATAAAAAAAACGATGGATTAACTAATTAGTATAGATTAAAACAATTTCACTACGAATATTGTGCAGTACAGTCATGTACATTTTATACTCTGTCTATTTTGATTGAAAAAAAATAATCAACTTTGGTCGGATAATTACGTTTAGGAATTAACTATCAACGCGCTTTCTTGGAGCGATATATATAATACCACGCACGAAAATTATTCTTCGCGCTTCGAAAATAAGTGTGACAACGACAGCGATAACAACGAAGAGATGATGAATGAGAAATATTTGGTTAGTTTTATCTCAAATGGATTTATAGTTTCAATTATCCTTTTAGCGTCTGTATGAATAGTGACGCCACAAAGTGTTTATTTTCATTGTTGTTGTTGTTGTTGTTGGCACACTTTCGAAGCCCATTAATGTTTTCATCGAAACTTGATCTCGAAGATAGTATGAGGGTTGATTTGATTCCGCGTTGATTGAGAAAACATTTTATTTCCAATTTGGTAGATCTAATAATAGATCTTAAATTCGACGAAAGAGCATACCGATTCTCGATACTATTGTGTTTGTTTAACCGCGTCATGCGTATTCCCATTCGACAAGTGCTAACTAATTTGGCCCAATAATTTCGATATCCGCGCGTGTAACGAATCTGTTGCGCTGAGACCCCAGCTTTCCCTCGTGTTTCACGGTGTTTTTCTTTCTTTTTTTTTTCTTTTTTCTTTTTCTTAGCGTATATACATCTGGTTTGTACAACAGAACAGAACAGAGAGGAAAAAGCAGAGGGAGGCAGTAGTAACGTTTCAAGGCAAGCGTAACAAGATTTTCAGCGAATGACAGACTGTTCTCTCGATTGGACGAAAAGCCTGATTGATTCGTTGGTCTCTTCGCTGCGCCACGATTTTACGCTAACAGCGCGAGCTAACAAATAACGTAACACAAAAACGTTATCCCACGTAAAACACAATCGGCGAACGTGCGGAAGCACCGGAAGGTAGCAATAATTTCTCAACCCAACCCCCGATTAACCCACGCAAACAATTAATGCACTTGCAGCTCATTCGCCGTATAATTGACCTGGCGAGATACGCAACATTGTGTACACAAAATAACGGATATTACCCGGATTCATATTCTCATTACTGTAATAGCAATAATATTTAATATTTTATAATAATTTTTCTGTTCTGTGTAAATCTGTGTGAATGCAACAACCAAAACAGAAACCTTGCAGTATATTTTATTCGGATTAAGTCGAATAATTGCGTGAAGAAACAAATAGCGGGGACATAACGGATTTGGAGTAAAGTGAAAGAGAGAGAGAGAGA